TGCACAGGCATAAACAACAGTAACCATAGCAATCTTGTCCGGGATAATCCCTTCCCTCCTCATCTGATCAAACAAGTCCAAAGATGCACTAGCATTCCCACACTCAGCATAGGCACCTATCATCACAGTCCAAGTCACAAGATCCTTCTTAGGCATTTCATCGAACAGTACATGAGCAGCCTCAGTGGCCTTACATTTTGCATACATATCCACAAGAGATGCACATATATAATGATCGAAGATCAACCCAAACTTCAAAACAACGCCATGAATCAAGCTACCCACCACCATATCCATCCTATCTCTACAAGCCCTTATCACTATAGGCAAAGTATAGTTATCAGGAGTCAACCCCCGACAAATGAGCTCCCTAAAAGTTCCAAAGCAATTCATAAAATCACCAATTTTAGCAAACCCACCAACCATTACACTCCAAGAAACCGAGTCTCTCACAGTCATTCCATCAAACAACTCGTAGGCATCATTTATGGCCTTATAATGCACATACATATACATAACCTTGTTTGCAACAATTAAATTACTGAGCGCACCATTAACAACCGCTCGCGCATGAACTTGTCGTACTTGAAAGATGTTTCTGCACCGGAGTAGTGCAGAAATATAAGATTTGGGGTGTAAAGAGAGAGAAGATTGAGAATCTGAAGTTTTTTGCATCTGGGAAATAGGAATTAAGGTGGTTTGCTCATTGAACTGGGGTTGAGATAAAGAATCTGCAGCGACAGCAGTAGCTGTTGAAGTTGATAGGAAGCGTAATGTTCCATTGTAGGTGACAAGGGAAGCTTGGTGTTCGAGGTTCTTGAACATTGAAACATTAATATAATGTTTTGAGGCTGCTTTATAACGCAAAAAACAAAAAAAAAAGTTTGAATTGTTGTTAATTTTTATTAATACAATTTTTTTATTTCTGAAATATTATAAAAGTAAACTAAAAAAATAATAATAATCTCTTTTTGTATTTTTTTTATTTTCTTTTCTTGACAAAGTATAAATCTGAATAAATATTAAAAAAAAAATAGAATTACTTTAAATGATGCCAGAAACTTAAATATTATATAAATTATGTGGTATAAAATCAATAATATTTTTAAATGAGTGAGTTAATTTGATTTACTAGGTTCATATTTTAAAATAAAATACAATAATAACTTCATATTTATTTTAAACAAATTAAATAATTTTATTTTAAAAATTAAACAATAAAAAATTAATATTAATATTTATATTGACAATATAAAGTAAATTAAAATATAACAAACTCAAATAAATTTAATTATTAGAATAATTTTGCAAGAAAAATATGTAATATTATTTTACTCACAATAACAATTATTTATTTGTTGTCATACAAAACTTTATTATTTCAAATACTTGTGGCTAATTCTATAACATAATTAATTAAAAAATATATCACATATCATATTTTATACTAATATTACTCTTTACAATAAGTTTGTCAAATATTATTATGTCTTACATTTTTAAAACTATTTTTTACTGAAATTCATATTCATAACAGCTTACAAAATCAGTACCAGGCAAGTTCAAGAAAATCTAAATCATTGGTATAGGTCTCAATACAGAGTATGTTTCAAATAATGATTGTGAACGTTTGCCCCAATTTACATTCTTCAGTTTAAAGCTACACATTTCAAAATCCCAAGAAGGGATTATTCATATTACTGAGAAGAAAACACCACCCCCTCCCTGACAACATTCTTCATCTTCTCCTATCCCTGTGACCATTTTGAACTGCAAATAATAACAGTATTACACTAATTATACAGATACAATACCTCAATTGTTCAGTGGATTAAACAAGACAAGGCTGGTAGTTTAATTGATTTGGGCGAGTGGTGAGCGTGGTGTTAGAGAAGGTTTTAGCTCCTTTGAATCAAATGATTCGTATGAATTGTTTTCGCGAAATTCTTCGAGAAGATCTTCCATTGGCATGGCTCGGAGTGACTCGATAGTACTCTTACTCGGTACCTCAGGTTCACTTCTTATGGGTGTTGTGCCACTTGGTTCATAGTCCTGCAAAGCAGATTAAGTTAAAAGATGAAATATATTAGCAAATAAATAAATGACGCACCAAATGATGGTAGCTTTTGTTTTCCTGGGAACCAAGATTCCTGCGGTGACCTAGTTGACATGGGTTGTTGTAATTTCATTTGAAATTTCTTAATAAACTCATTTATTATCATTTTTCAATAAATTTTTAAATAAATACTATAAAAATTCTGAATTTATTTCCAACATAGATTAGTAGATTTCTGAAGAATGGAGACTCCACGAAATGCAAACATGACTGAGATATGAGAATTAAAGCTCTCCACATATGTAAATTGCCTAACTCAACCTTACGGGCGTACACATGGAATTCTAATGCCTATCAATTTCCTATGCCCAACCATCACAATACTACCAACCCCGCCAACTAACCATGTATAAACAATAGACTATAACACGTTCCATACTGTCAAGAATCTTCAATAAGCGATCTTGATTTGACATGCAAACCACAGTTTCTCCTAAATTAGAATGGCAGTAACCCAGAAATATGATTTACTTGTACTAAAATTATAATAGTTTTGATTAGTAATAACAAGATAAATTAGCATACCATAAATCTCTGTTGGAATGTTTCCTGTGCCTTCTCCTTAATGGATGCAGCTTGGCATGAATGGTCCTCTTGGAAAGCCTCCATTGTTTTGCCGTGAGCTTTAACCGTATCAATGACTTCATGTATAGATCCTCTTTCCTGTTCGGACATGCCTACAGTAGGTTCCCGAAAGAATAAAATAAAATGCACATTTAAACCTTATAAACCTCAATAGTAATAAAACAATTGAAAGCCAACTTAAAAAAGCACATATTTCTGAATAATTGGTGTTGCAGTTGCCTTAAAATTTATCTATATTACCCTGCAGCTCAAGGTACTTTGATTTGTCTACTAGAAGCATATAAAGACTTGTGAATCAGGAAAAAAAAGACCCTTAACAATACAAGGAATTGCAAGCTAGATTTACATAGAACTCACCATCTATGCGATGAATAATATTTTCGCTATTCTTTGTTACATCATGCTCCACTGCAAGTCTTGCAGCATCAATTTCAGCATTGTGCTGTTGATTAGCATCGGAAGCATTTCTACAAGCAAGGTTAAAGAAAAGATTTACTGACTAAGTTAAAATCCAAAATAAATCATGATTATAACGTTCTCATCTTTTCTTGTATCTTTAATTCCGTCTTTTTAGAGATGTCTACGAACACACGTACTAGGACACTAAAATGCCAGACAGACAGGACAGTCCAACACTGAATTTCAAGCACTCATCGTTCAAAATTAACCATTTGGCAAAAGCACTTTCCGTCCACAAGAGGAAGACAACAAAACCATTCAAACCACTCACCTGATAGCTGATGTCACGGCCAAGACGTGCTTATTACCCATCTCAGTCACAGACTCGTTCGTTTTTTCACAGTGCTTGAGTGCCGATTCTGAAGTGCTCACACTGAAGCAAACACAATAAGGGAAGGGCTACTTATCGGAGGGGATAGAAGAAAAGAATTCATGCATACAAAGTGATAAAACTTAGGACTTACCACTTCTGCAGCAGTATCTCCATACGACAATGTTTGGCAGCAGAATAATCAGCACCATCTTTAGCATTATTCTCGACTTGCATAGAGAATGCCTCCCATTTCCTTTTTGCGTCTGTAGCAATACCGTTCATCATTGAAACATGCCCATCTAAAAATTTCTTGTTTACAACAGCCCTTTCTCTTAGATCAATAAGCCTTGCATCCACCTGTCAATAAAAATGTAGCGTCATCCTAAAATAGAACAGAAGTAGAAAGAAAAGATGACAGAGAGCAGACAAACCAGCTCATTTTGCCGACGAATATGATGGGAGACCAGATTAGTTACATCAGCAATAAGTTTCTCTGCGTCGGATTTTGATTGAGCCTGAAAAGGAAATGCATGAAAAAAATTTCCGACAAAACACCTGCACCATGCACACCTGAGCTTAGACAAGGACGCCAACCTCGTAAGACTTCTGAAAATCAGCAAGGCTCTGCATTTGAATTTCATTGGCTTGAGCTGCATGATTCTCCAGCTTCTTCGACTCCTCCAAAAGCTTGTGGAGATACCCGTTAGTATACTCAGACATGCACCTCGTTTGCTCAATGCTTGCGTGGAACCTCTGTTGCAAGAGCACGAAATAGAAATCATTAAGAAAATAAAAACCAAATGATAGAAAGCATTGATTTATATCTGAAAATAAAAGGTTGCTATTTGGTAAATAAGCTTTGAATATATTAATTATAAGCACGATAAGATGATACGTAAGACATCACAGCACGAACAAACAGAACATTGAAGCACACACCTGGCGCAGTTCCCTTGCAAAAAGAGACATTTCAACCTGATGAGATGAAAGAGAACCGTGAAGCTCATCAAATATTGATGCTGCCGCAGCATTCTCCGATGCCAGAAACTAAAATACATAAACTCATTCACGTCAGATTTTAAACGACAAACAATAAATGATTGTACTACAGCTAAAAGACATTATGTAGAGATTCAAGCTTCTGTCAAAAGTGAACCTAAATTAGAGCCGATACCTACTTCTTCAATAGATTGTGCATTTGAAGATGCCAAGGTTGAAATCTCCTCTAGACAAGCATCTGAGCTTGCCTTATGCAAGCGCACAACATTTTGCACTGCCTCAATGTGGGAAATATACAAAGCCCTTGAAGCTGTCACCTTTTTTTTTATATCCATAACCGCCTAGGGGAAAGATTCACAAAAGAAACCAAAACAAGGAGTTTGTCAAATATACTTATGATTTCATGCAAAACCATAAAGTGAGACATCAATATATCGGAGGCTGGAATTAATTGAAAACCTTATCATGGATACTTAAAAATGAGGCACAGAGTTTTTCAACACATTGAAGGTGTTCTTCTTGCCGAGCAATAGATGAAGAAACAATGTTGCACAGATTACCAATTTGTTCAGTGAGCTCTACTTGGTAACTGTTAACAACCGATCTATTGTCAGCATTTAGTTTATCTTCTCTTCCTGCATGATACCGTCTCAAAAACTCAGAAATCAAGGAACTGTATGAAGAAGTAGCCACCCTTTGAAAAAGCTTAACTACATACCAATTTTTAGGAACAACGAAGCATTATCCTTAAGAGCTTTCTCAAGGTCAGACCGCAGAACACATGCTTGATTTGCCAGAGCATTTTCTATTATGAAGATTCAGAAACAGTGTTAAACCACAATAGCATCAAGATACCAAAAGAAAACGGAAGAAACATACCTGCTTTCCTCTGCTCAGATACGATAAAATCCCTCTCCTTGAGAGCATACTGACACTTCTTCAATTCTTCTTCAGTGTTGGCAAGCAATTTACCGGTTTGGTTTAAATTTTTCTGGTAGTTTCACTATATAACTTAAGAAACTATACACGGACCTAAAATAGAAATCACCAGTAAAGATGACTAACCTCAGTGGCGTCAAGTTTGCTGCTCAAGTCAGAGCATTCTCGAACTTGGGCAACATACTTATCTTGCAAATCCTCAAGTTGCTGTGTTTTTACATTACATGTAGAATAAGTAAGTTCATATTTCCATGAAAGATTAACAAATAATCTGTGAATAACTACTTCATTAACCAACCTTTTGATAGCTTTCTATCTGAACCCCCATTTGTTCAATCTGATCAGTCATGGCCTAAACACAAGGAAATTAATGCCATGAGCAAAATAGGTCCAAGAGCTACCATAACCACCACTCACTGAACGAAAATGCATAAGACAGTGGAGGCAGAGTTCATTCTACTTTGAAGCATCATTGGGATAAAGATATGACATACCAATTGTGAAAAGCTCATAGAGGAACAAAGCACAAAAACAATACCTTCCTTTCACTCTCCTCTTGATAGTATCGCTCCTTGGGGATATAGACACCATTTTTCTCACGTGCGGCATAAACCTCTGGAGAAGAAAAAAAAAAGAGATTGCTAAATAACTGTTAACTCAGGAACCTGAGATTGAATATAAATTGGAATCTCTTCGTAGAATTTTCTCAGCAGCCACAGCAATGTCTACATATCTCACCTGCCTTAAGTCGTTCAATCTCGCCATAAAGATCCTTTATGAGAGTTGATTTCATCATTTTTTGGTTAACCTGCAAGTAATTCACAACATAAGATGGACTCTCTAAAAAACGCATCTAAAAGCATTATCTATCGCCATCCAAGGGAAGCAACAAATGGCAAATGTAGATGAGAGTTGAAAAAGGCGATTCATGGAGCAAGAGATTACAAATCCAAATGGAAAATTTGAATCGGAAGGACATTTCAAAAAATAATACCAGAAAAAAAAAACAATATACTTTCTTATAACAGCATTGTTAAAGGCAATTCTATGCTAATATTTACCAAGATGAATTTACTAAGGCAATAATACTTCTTCCACTGTTTTGTTTTAAAAAAGGTGAGAGCACAAAACCATGCAAGCAGTACTTCAGTTAACAAAGGTCACACTCCAGTTCAAATTTCAAAGATGCAATAAATAGGTTGGGTGAATTATACACAGTTTTATAAGCTGAAACTCTCGTAGTTTTCCAAACCAAACCTGGGATTTCACTGACTCTTACAACAACTAGGTCGACAAAAAATTATTCCAGCAGCTACTACTAATGGAGAGAACTTTAAATTAAACTACCTCAAATAACTTGTCCAGAATAATAACAAACCTCTGGCTTATTTTTAATGTGTTTAGCCCTGTGTGCATAATCAAGAGTACTCAAAGTCTCCTCCAAACAATGGACAGCTGGTGAAACTGTGGCTATAATACAAGTCTTGGTTCTTCCACCAAGGGAATCACGAAGCAACCTAGTAAGCTTGCTATCCCTAGATTCCAGTTTAATACAAAATTAGCTCTCCACAGCAAACAAAATATTGTTATCAGATAAGTAACCAAAAACGGCAGTTCAAACCTGTAGGGAATATGTCCAAGGTGCTCTACAAGTGCATTAATAACTCTTCCCAGAGTAAGTAAACTTTTGTTGATTTCACCGGCTTCTCTTGCACGACCCTATTTAAGTAACAACGTTTGTTCTGTAATTACTACCTAAAATTTTACTGAGCACTTTTTGTGAAGGAACAAATTAAAAATAAGAAGTTGAAGGAGGGAAGGAGAGATAGAGAGCAACCTCTCTAGCACCAGAACGAGATATATTCTCTGACCCTGCCAAATCAACCAAGTTCAGCTTTCCACATTTGATTAGCTCTTCACCTTCTGGTGTTGCCTCCTTGATATGTATAGTGATGGAGAAGAGAGAATGTGACCGACTGAAATGCAGCACAACTATTCAAGAAACAAACTAATTTAGCTTAAAAACAAAAACAAAACTGAATACCAGTTACCTTGATTGCTTATTCAATAAGGTTTCCGCTGTTCGGCGTTTTGCAGATCCTCTTTCAAGTAGAGTAAAAATCTCATTTGCACTGGTCACAATTTCCTCCTCCAGACCCCTTACAAGAACTCCACCTTTCCCATCCTCCATAAGAGGTAATTGCTTCTTTTGCTTCTCATCCAATGCAACTTTCGAAATTTCCTCTGGTGCAAGCAGATCAGTTATCTCTTCGTTATACAATTCCAAGAAAGTAACTTTGACACTGTACTCAGCATTTTGACTTTCAAGTGTATCAAAAATCTGCTTGACAGCTCTAGGTATTACACCCGCTTCCTGTGGCAATTCTCCATTGGGTCCACTCTGTTCAATTTTCAACAGTACATAAAGGAACTATCAGCTAAAGATGAACAGAAAACGCATACAAGATCTGAAAAGAAAAGTGGAAAACACGAACGGGATCAAAGATCAGATGCATACGCCATACCTTTGATCTTTTACATTCACCTTCCATTGTGTAGGTCTTTCCAGTACCAGTTTGACCATAAGCGAAAATAGTACAGTTAAAGCCTTCTAAAACCTCATTCACAATTGGAACCACCGCTTGTTCGTAGAGATCCTTTTGCTGGGCTGACGGGCCAAAAACCTATGTGCATCATGAACAAAAGGCTAAGATCTAACACAAGATAAAATATCAGAATCAAACATAAAATCCTTCATCACTTCAAGAAACTCGCTGCGTCTTAGCCCAGGATAGCAAATGCAGGGTTTCCTTTGAAAATAAAAACCACAGCTTCTAGACTATAGCCTGAGACATCCGGGATGGGAACACGTTAAAGGCAAACATTTAACATACAGTCTTACATAGCTAATTAATGAGCAAACTATTAAGTCTGACGCTTATAACACAAAAATTGGGAAAAGAATAAAAAACAAATCCCTTAATGAGCATAATGAAAAGAAAATGCTACTTCTGTTTTTAGAAGTTTTACTCGAGCACAGCTCCAGTAAACTTCAAAAACCGAGAAAAGAAGACAGACCAAAAAGGAAATAGAAACCCAATTGGGTAAAAAAAATGTTTCACACAAATTGAAACCTACTATGAGAAGCTCGAATAAAATTAAACAATTAGCTAAACTAAAAACTAGGACATACAATTGTTTGCAAACTCGGAGCAGCAACACTACCCAAGTCTAGCGGTAAACTCCCCCCTGGGCGGGAATGACATTAAAGCCCCATAACGTTGGAACTTCATAAGTTCACTATTCATCTTGTACATTACTTTCCAGAAAACGCTATTATCAACTTAAAACGAGCAAAACTTAATATTACCAAAGGCAATATGATAGGAAAACAATGAAATCAACCAGAAACTTAAAATAAATTTCAAAAGTTACACATTTACCTTATCAAATGTAAAAACCCTATCGATATGCTTCCCAGCAATGTTCTGCGATACCGCAACTTCTCGTTGGTACTCATTGCAGGTAACAACTTGTGGCGCATTGTTCCTCAACTCATCGTCGCTAAACGGCCTAATACACCACCCAAAAAGATTGTCTCATATCACACACAGAACCTAGAAATCACCATTCCATTCCCGCATTTCTAACCAAAACCCTAACCTCTAACAAGCATGTAGATACATATAGCCGACGAGAGAAAGGAAAAATAGATTAAGAAGTACCTGCAACGGAGAAGAACTTGAACGTTGACGCCTTTCTCTTTCTCGTGGCGACTAGACATTTTAGATCGGCGAAGAGAGGGAGAGTCGCACGAACCTATACTGCTACTCCTTACCGTTAGATCCACTTTTTGAAAATGGTCTCTCTCTCTTCTCTTTCTCTCACTCTCTCTCGTCGCCTACTGCAACTGGAATCGAAGGAAGAGCGGGTTTCAAATGTGATTTGAATTTTGGGAGCCGCTCGCGTGGTTGTATTTATCGAACGGCTCACTTTTCGTTGCAAGGATCGGACGGTGGACATGACTGCCGGATTCAAGTTTTATGCAATTCCCGTATTACCCCTAGTGAATTGCTCATATTACGGACCTATCCAGATCATGCTGATGGGCTTTACCAGTAACCCAGTTTGGTAAATGGGCTAATTAAGCAGCCCAATCAGAAGTCGGATCCAAAATTATATGGGAATGACATAATACTCACTCATCATTTGTTTGGCCCCCCACGTTATATTCTATTAATTACTCTTCAATTTAAAGGTTATAAGTTTGAATATTACTGAGAATATATATATATATATATATATATACTTTATTATACTTTATTATTTTGTGAACGTAATAAATAGTCATTGAGTCATAATACTTAATTCAATTCACCATAACAGAATGTAGTTCGTTGGTGTATTATTAAAGTTGTGATGAATAAGTTGGATTCAATCCGTCGGTGTATCATGACACAAGAAATTTATTGAAAAAATTATAGAATAATAAAAAAATAAAAAAAAAATTATTTAACGTAATTTATCTTTTTATTCTTTTAAAAAAAAATCTTATGTTCGAGGTGTTTAATTTCTTTTAATAATATTATTTAATTATTTAAATATGTTTGACATTATTAAAATATATCGCTTAACATTATAAATAATTAAAAGTAGTTTAAATCTAACATATTTAGTGATATTTCTTTTAGCTAGAGAAAAAATAAATAAATAACAAATCTAACAAAGTGATTAGTTATACAACTTTATAAACTGTCACAATAATCGAGATAAAATAACTGATTAAATTTTTCGGAACTATATAGAATAATAATAGTGCCTTTAGAAATGTGATAGCCCCAACGAATAAGATGGTCAATATAAATATTATCATTTATGTAAATATATGTGAGTTTTACATTTCAATCACGAGTCAATACATCTATAAACTTTGTATCATGACGAATAGTCGAGCCCCTACTTTGAAGCACACGAACAATAACAAGTTAGTTGACTTCTATGATAATATTTACGAAGACTTGGGTTCAAATAACCCTCAATTTCTCGAGAGCATCATAGGATTTCACAATAAATAGTAAATGTATTTCAAGTTGCAGATGAAACTAATAATCGAATTGTCCTGACTATGACAAACAACACCCTAGACAATCGCAGTGTCATGATCACCTGTATGTATTTACCTTAAACTACCTTTTTAATGCTATTTTGAAATTCTTTTTTCTTTTATATATCTCTCAACTCTGATTATCTAAAATTATTCATTTAATTTTTGTTAAACATCATTTCTATATTTAAATTTAATACATTTATATAGTTATTATATTGTGATAATCTATAATCAATAACTAATTTATGAAAAGCTAACTTAATTTTTGTAGACTAAACAAAGACTCTATGTTGAATAATATATTTTATAATTTTAATATTGTTCGTCATTATATACTTATTAACATAAACAATAAGTTACACGTCATGTATATTTTTGTTACGAAATATTATAAAATATTATCTAATATATTAATATAATAATATACTTTGTAAATTTATTTAAAATATTATTAAAATAGTTTTTTATAGTATTTTAACTAATGAGAGTTGTTATACATTTAGTGAAGTCAAATATATAAAATATTATAACTTTTAAAAATAAAATGTTTTCTATTTGTATGAGTAATAATTATTGTTATACTAAACTAATATAATTTATCAATAATTTTTTCTAATAATTAAGTAAAATACATAAGGGTGGTAAGCGCCAAAAAACGAGAGTTTGGAAATGCAACATCGATGGGACAATTATGGGTTCGAACCCCAAGGGTGGCTTTGGAGCAGTTATACGAGATTCTTATGGTCAAGTATTATCTGTCTTATTTGATCCGATTATAGGAGGTAGATTACCGTATTTAATCAAATTACTAGAATGTTACTGGACTCTGCATTACATAGAGGAAAATGTTAAAAAATAAAGAATTATGGAGGTCCAGAGAGTATCGACAACATGGGAGGATGATTACTCATAATTCGACTTTATTGTTGTAGATTATCGTACGTTATTACAACAGATATCAGATGTATCGATTAAATAAATAAAATAACAATATAATACAATGATTCATTAAATAGCGAAAACTGTTCATCTCTATCTGTATTTTCATATACAATATACACTAATCCTCGACGTTCCTATTTTGATTCATAAATAATTAATACAAGCGATTCATATTTTCAAAAATAAAATATACCCAACAAATCATACAAACCGAACACAATTATACAAATATTATATATATGTTACCAAATATATATTTAATTCTTATTATATAAAACGTGCGTGTTATATATTTTAAACGTAACATGTAAAACATACATAATAGATATAAATATTTGTATTATATAACAAGAAGCACAATATTTCTATAAATATTTAGTTTTGGGTAACATTAAAATCATAACTAGTTTTTCTAATATGTATTTTTTTCAATTTATACATTTAAAGGAGGTCCTTAAAATGCAGCTCTGAAATGTCACCATAGCATGCACTAACAACATACTTATTTAATAATTAAAATGTTTATATTTTATTTAAAATTTACGAATTTAAACTTTATTCGTAATTTATAATATATAATTTTAACTATTTAAAATAATATAATATTATGTATCACTTAGATTTTATTATTTAAAATATATACAACTTCGTATTTATAATAATGAAGCTTCATAAATACTTCGGGGAATTAAATTTTATCAATGGTTATGGGGGCAATCGCCGTCTCATTAATGCAGTGCATTACATTAATTAATTACTTCTTAACTAACTCATTTAATAAAATTAAATTAGATTTTTGGTATAGTTTATTAACTTCCCCTTTCTCACATTTTATTTTTAAGAAAATACTGAAATTGAAATTAATTGTGTTATAATTAGGGTACTTAATAACAATGCATCGTTTAGTTTCGTTTATTTAACTAAGAGTTAGACAAAAAGTATAATGATTATTACAAGAATCACGAGCCGAGTGCATTCTATTGATTAAATTCGTAATATTTTACGAAATATATTAAATTAATACGGAAGAATAGACATTTTTTTTCATAGGCTTTGAATAATTCGGAGCTAACTTGGAATATGGGTATGTGCAATGTTATCTTGAAAATAGATTAGTGCACTTTTCGGTATAAAATTTGAATAAAATTCTCAACAAATAATCGATTCATACCAATAACAACTCCAATATGATTTTAGCTATCGCGAGAAAAACTATCATGTTAATTTTTTGACGAATCTGGCATTCTCTTGGCCCCTTGATTCCTATTACTTGCAATAATTTTATGCAGAGATAATCTTATTAGGGTCTCGTGTCCTAAAATATATAATCTCTAGACTTTTTTCTTACTCTTTGTGTGCCTTTGCGTTTGTCTTTTTTTTTTTGTATTAAAAAAAAGAGAACTAAGTCATAAACAATTATAATATATATAAGTCGACATAAAATATTATTATGACTTGAAAGATAAACAAATATATAATCGGTTATGTTATAAGTATTGTATTATGATAATTACTATGTTTTTAATAAAAATTTAATGTATTATTTTAATCTTTATCAAAAAAATAAATGTAATAAAAATAAGATTATAATTAATAAATATTAAAAAGAAATATGTAACTTAGCAAACAAATGAAACTAAATGATTCAATAAAATTCGATTTTTGTTTTAACTAAACAAAATAGTTATATATTATTTGACAATTAATTATAATTTGAACTGACTAATTCAATCTATTTTATATATTCATATGACAATCCATAATTAAATTATATATATATATACAATATGATCTTTTAATAATAAGATAAAGGATAAAATTAATTCAAACTTAACTAAAAATTTATGAAATAAGAGAAGTACCGACTATCTTATATTATTTATATGCCATCTACCATTTATCCGCCAACTTTATTTAATATATATATATACACACACACACACATGGGGAAAGATGCAATGTCCCATTTTTTTTTTTTTTTAGCAGTGTTATCTTAATTATATTAGCATACAGAACCTCCGTATGATGCAAACAAGTTTAAAAATACATAAGGTATTCAAAGAGTATCAAAATGTGACTTGTAGCAAATTTCAAATGACGTAAACACAAATAGAATTTCAATTCTGGAAAGTTTTAGCGGACCAGTAACAAAATCAAAGTTAAAAAAACTTAAATAGTTGCTCCAAATTTTCACTCAAAAATATGTGGTTGATGGGCTGGCCAATTGTGAAAAGTTCAAATATGAGTTTTTTGAACAGCACAAATTCGTAATTTTAATTGGGTTTAAATGATTTGGGATAATTTGAGCTTGTTTTAGTCTTATTGGTAATGGGTGAATAAGTTTTGTGTATGGGCTGGATTAGTTTAGTTGTTTTAAGTATTTTGGATTGTTTTATTTTAGTTTGAGTTAATTAATCCCATATACTCAAGTGTAACTCATTTGGGTTTAAGTTTTGTCTTAATGTTATTACAAAAATGAGTTAATAATTATATGGTGTCACAAACAATTAGTGGTGTTGGTTAAGAAGATTAGAGTTACAAATATTTACATAACAATTATATGCTTAGAATCAGCTTAGTTATTAACTTCTACCATTTTTGTGATTGAACAAATTTGATTCATTTTTACTTGTGATCTAAATTATGTTATAAATCGATTGAAGAGTTATAAGGTTCAAGCAATGGTATTGGGGTTCTACATCACCGTATCTCATCCAAATCAATCATACACATAAAGAAAATACTGAAAACTAATTACTCAATTTCTAAAAATTTATCAATTATAGATGCATCAATATAGTAGCTTACGAATTTTACAAATCTCTGTTTTTACACATGAATTACATTGTTACTAAATACGTAATTATCCCATTTTACTAATTGTAAAGTCTGCTCAATTTTCTCTATATACTATGTTCGGAAACTCACAACTCCAATTCAGACTCTGGTCCTACTTCATCTGTAATTAATAGAGAATGAGTACATATAACTCAGTGCAGTAAATTTAAATCACAAATATAGTATGAAAACTCAATTAAAAGCTCATTATTCTATGTTTTTCCCTCCCATTACATTGGTCATGCCTTATTTTCTACCAACAACCCCCCACTACTACTCATCTAACTCTACTATAACTACCACATCTCCTTAATGATAAATTGTCAATTATACTAGGTGTAGTCATTCCATACACTATCCCCTCAGCCTTGACCCGACCACTCACCCACACTGTTATCCCCCTCATCCGTCACCAATATCGACGA